CCCAGCCTGTATTAACACTTGGAGTCACCCCGACCCAGGTACAGGACCCTGCACATGGCCTTGTTGAAACACGGGCCCACTTCTTGAGCTTGTCCAGGTCCCTCTGGATGGCAGCCCATCCCTCAGGCATGTCGACTGCACCACTCAGCTTGGTGTCATCTGCAAACTTGCAGAGGGTGCACTCAATCCCGCTATGTCATTGATGAAGCTATTAAACAGCACCAGTCCCAGTATGGACCCCTGAGGGACACCACTTTTCACCAATCTCCATCCAGACATCGAGCTGTCGACTGCTACCCTCTGCGTGCAAGCATCCAACCCATTCCTCATCCACTGAGCAGTCCACCCGTCAAATCCATATCTCACCAACTTAGAGAGAAGGATGTTGTGGGGGACTGTATCGAAGGCCTTACAGAAGTCCAGACAGAGGACAACCATAGGTCTTCTCTTGTCCACTGATGCAGTCACTCCATCACAGAAGGCCACTAGGTGGGTCAGGCAGGATCTGCCCTTGATAAAGCCATGCCGGCTGTCTCGAATCACCTCCCTGTCCTCCAAGGGCCTTAGCATAGCTTCCAGCAGGATCTGTTCCATGATCTTCCCAGGCACAGAAGTGAGGCTGACAGGTCAGTAGTTCCCAGGGTCCTCCTTTCTACCCTTTTTAAAAATGGGCACAATGTCTCCCTTTTTCTAGTCACCCGGGACTTCATCTGACTGCCGTAACTTTTCAAATATCCTAGAGAGTGGCTTTATAACTACATTGGCCAGTTCCCTCAGGACTCTGGGATACATCTCATCAAGCCCCATAAGACTTGTGCACGTTGTGGTTCCTCAGGTGGTCACGAACCTGGTCTTCTCTTACAGCAACAGGGACTTAGCTCCTGAATCCCTGCCTTTCAGTTCATCCATTTGAGAGGTGTGGGAAGAGAGGTCACCAGTGAAGACGGAGGCAAAAAAGCTGTTGAGTACCTCAGCCTTCTCCTCAGCCATTGTCACCAGTTTGCCATTCTTGCTCATCACTTTCTTTGACCTTCCTTTTCTGGCTTACATACCTGTGGAAGCCCTTCTTATTATTCCTAGCATCCCTTGCCAAGTTCAGCTATGCCTTGGCCTTCCTGACCCCATCCCTATACAACCAGGCAACACTCTTTCCAAGATAGCTGTCCCTGCTTCCAGTCTCTGTGCATTTCCTTCTTGCCCTTTATTTTGACCAGCAGGTCTTGCTTCATCCATGCTGGTCTCTTGCCATCTTTACCTGATTTCTTACACATGGGGATCGAGAGCTCTTGCACCTTATGCAAAGCATCTACCAGACCTTAACATCAGACCATCTCCTCTCTTTACAGTAAATTCAAAGCTTTATCTTGCAAGGCAGGAGAACCAGTGGTCACCGTGTATAAGCAGAGGCCTGCCAGTTTTGAGATAATTGCTCAGACAGTTTGAGATAAGACTCAGGACGTCCCCAGCGGGAACACATCAAAAACTCATCCCACTGAACCAGGAACCTCTTCACTCCACAACCCTTTCATTTGGAAGACCGCTTAAAACAAACAAAATAATTTTAAAAACAAACCAAAAACCACAATAAAACAAAAACCCCCAAAACCCCCAAGCAAAACCCCCATCAATCTTTTGTTTCACAACTGGCCACTGAACAGAAAATTCTGCTTCTAGTCAGTCCCAAATGGAAATGTCATCACAGAAAATATGCAGGGAGAAAGGCAGTTAACAGACTTCCTTGCTTAGATGAGAATTACTGGAAACACATTAGTAAGTATACAGATTCATATTTTGTTGGAGATTTTTTAAATTATCAGGAAAAGCCAAATATTTTCCCCTGTAAGACACTGTTCTGCATTTTATCAAGAGACTTAATCTAGCAAAGCTTTCCTAGTTCACTTTCCAGTATTCTAAGGGAAGACCTATGCAAGTCTGAGAAACACTGCTCTACTAACTATACATAGATCGTTTTGGAGATTTTCCAGCTTCAAAAGTCCTCAGCAGCTTCTTCACAGAGCAAGTGAGCAAGCAGCTCTCGCAATTAATGTTAAACAGAGGTTTGGCTGTCCTGGTCAATTTTACATATGGCAACACTTAAAAGACTGAAACAAACTGTACATCTTGGCACTAAGACATTCAGCTACAAAGCTCTATTCCTCCTGAATTTAGTTTTCAACATATACTAACACTAGAGCTGAGAAAGAGATGAAACAATTTTCAGAGGCTAGAGAACACTAGAAATTTTCACCATGAAGTGTTAAAACTCATTTGGGTTTGTAGTTGCAGGGGGCTGGTGTAATTTTGGCTGATTCAAATGTTCAGTATGTGTTCACATACACAAAGATTATCTTCTGTCTCTCTGGGATTGACTGGACATGGCAACTTCACCAGCTGCAGAATCATTTCTAGTTTGTCACCAATACAGATGCCTCTACACATGCCCACCGTCTAGAAACTAACTCAGTGGAGTAGAAATTCCCCAACACAGAGAAGCCATTCTAGTCCCACATCTGTAAAATAATCAAAGGTCAAATAACAGCACAATAAATCCTACCGAAATCAACAGGAATATCTTGAGAACTACCCAATCAAAATCTATATGAAATGCTGATTAGTGCACAATTTGGTAAGGATTTGTTTTCCATTTGGTTCTCAGTTATAGTTCTCTCACGTACCATAAAAATTGGTTCATAACAATACTAAATGTTGCCTTTTGGTCTTTTGTTTGATTGGTTTTGCGTTTTTTTGGAGGGTTTTTTGAGAACTCAATATACCTGATTTAAGGCAACTATAACCCACTCAAAAATTCCATAATTGGAGTCTGACCCAGGAAACAGAATTGCAGGTAACCAGCTCTCACTGCACACGTAGCTCAGAAATTTTGCAGTAGCCAAAATATGTGTCTCACTGTACACAAAACCTCTGTGTCAGCTTTCATTCTTCTCTTTTTATCCAAAAGTTAATAGATGGATATAAATTAGAATAAAATGTATCTGCTTTTCATTTAAAATCCCAAAACACATAAACAACAAAAAAAAACAAACCTCAGACAGACACTGGCATTTTCATTTAAAATTGCCACAGCCATTAAAATTCTGCAGCCAACATTCACGTACTTTCACTTCAGTTTGAGAGATGAATGCCTGACAACCAAAGTGGGCAGTGTAGTTTACTAGACAAAAAGATACCTGCTTAAAACGTGCAAGTCAACCTCCCTAGTTATATTTAGAGTTTGACTGTCCACTACTCATATTTCAAGAGCATTTTACTTTTTTTACTTTATTTATCATAGATTGGAAATGGCATGCAGTATGAACAGTATTTAAGACATTACTGCATCTCTTCCCTGTCTGAAAAGTACCAAGAGACAGTAGCCTACAAAGGCACAATTAAGACTTAGACTGAACTGAAAAAGAATGATGGAAAGAAGTATGTGATGATAACTTCACAAAAACACTACCACTTAAAGAAAATAATGTGAGGCACAAAAAAGCCAGAAAGTGATAATATTTGATAAGAAGGCAAGCGCTCACAATGAAAAAGACATACAAGGTACCTACTATATGAACTGTTTTTACTAACCTCCCCCACCAAAAAACAGGAAAAATTTTGATTTGTTATTAGGAGACAAAATAAAGGATACTGCTGATTTAAAGAGGTATTTATTTACTCTATATGCTTCACAATACAAACAGCACAGAATGCAAAAGGAAATATTCCTTTGTAGGTTTGTCATAATCCAAATACATTTGAACTTGAAATTTCAATTGCATTTAGACACTCAAAGTTACTGGAAATTTGAAAGTACAGAGGAGGTAAATATTTGCTTATAGCTGTGACTGACATGTCTAAAAACATATTTAAATTCCAAAATGAGTTTTTATTTAATTTAAAACTTACAGTCCTATTAATCAACATTCACAAGTGCAACCATAAAGGTACTTTTAAAGAAGTGCTGAAAACAAGAGACCTGAGTAAGAAAAACAGTTAGGTTTGACACTTCTTTATGATTTAATCAACTTTTTTTGCAACTGACAGTCTTATTTGTTTGTGACAAAACACCACCCACGTTTTTACTGGAAATGCTGTTGGAATGTTAACTGCACAGAGAGTGGATGGTGTCTCCTTTAACACCTGAACTTGCATAACTACTGTGACTACTGGGGCAAAACACTGGCTGCCCAGGCAGACATGTACGTGTGCAAAATACCTGCCATGCTCATGTCGTCATAAGTACAGGCTTAATCACAGCATATGTCAAAAAAACAAACAAACAAACAAACAAAAAAAACAGTAATACTTGGGGGTACTTTCCTCCACGAATTTCTGGTAACTTTGCTTAATTTCTGGCATCCAAACTAGCATATTTTAAAATGGGAGAAATTCTCCTCCACTCGCATTTGCACATGAAAGCATCAGACCCGCGGGACATTTTTCTCGCCTGAACAGGAAACCAGTATGTTTTGATTTTATGTGAATTTTCAGAATATGACAGGCATTCTTTAAGAAACATTCTAAAAAGCATTCCCCTCTCTTACAGCAACACATTTAATTATGCAAGTAGACAAACAAAGGATCCCTTTAGTGATTAGGGACTACAGTCAGCTAGTCAATGAGTTCTAACACTGGGTGGTAACTCATGGCAACAGGGGAGACACAGAAGACAGCAGGTTAGATACAAATAGCAGTCCATCTTGCTATTCAAGATCAGAAGGAACTGCACTGCAGATGGAGAAAGAGAAACAAAACAAAAGACCCCCACCAGAACAGCAATGAACCTGCCAGCAAGCACAATCGGACCACTGCAATGAAAGGTTTATATTATAATGCTTACATTTCCCTCACATCCTTTGTGCTCTTCCTTCTACTTTATGCTGTAAATTTTCATTTAAGGACCATTTCAGTTTTGCTACTTTATTTCAGTTTTGGAACTCTGAACCTTCTTTTCCTATTAATCACTTTAAAAAAAAGGGTAGGGAAAAAGTAATTACTATCCTTACCGACTGCACAATTGCTCGGGCATCCCCCTCACTGCAACAAAATGGACTGCCACTCATCAGAACGTTTGTGCTGAAAAATAAAATTTAAAATATGTTTTATCAATCAGTGGAAAAGAGACACATATAATTAAGTACCTATGGAAAAAACCCACCTTCACATACAGAGCTGAGAAACATGTATCTGCAAGAAATGAGGAAGTCAAAAGCACAAAGTAGCCAGTAATGCTGGAAGGGAACAAGGGTGTGTAGGGGTGTTCTTTCTTTCTTTGGGTTTGAAGGGTTTTTTACGCTATACAGTTTATATTAATGCAAGCAGTGCTCACACTCAGTGCTTCTGATAGCTAACTTGAGTACGGTTCAGAAGACCACAGTTAAGACACTAAATCCCCCCAAAAGTCAGTAGAGATAAACTGGCACGTCCTGAGGGAGTTGAAGAACACCTAGATGGCGAGCACAGATGCTCTGTCTCTTGTGCCTTGAAGGATGGCAGGCCACCCTTAGTTTGCACTAACTGCCTGCAGTATCTAACAAGAAGGAAAAAACAGGCCAAAATTCTGCTCTTACATACACCAGCAGAAATCTGTGCTGCTTCCAAAGAGCCAACAAACTCTGGGACCAAATACTTTGCAGAAATGTTTCCCTATGAATGTATAACCTTTCACACCAAAAGTGAGTTTGGTCATGAGTTTTTAAGGTCCTACACAGTAAACAGCAAGAAATTAAATTCTTCAAAGCCAGACTGCAATTTAAATTTTGTCAATGTGAAGCTCAAAGTGCCCACGAAATGATCAAGACCTAAATTTGAAAATTATCCTACAGTATTCTTGCCATGCTAAAGTAGAACTACCAGCCTGTCCAACTGTTAAGGTTGGACCTTAAGCAGTTCCAAGCAAGAGAAAGTCGTATTTTCCCAGTAAAGCAGAAGACGACAGTGACTATCTGAGCACAGCTTACCCCACAGCCTTTGCCCTCTCTTTTACCTAACAGTAACTTACAGCCCTTGGAAAGTACCAGGCAAAGATATCTGCCTGCTCTTCAGGGCCTCTGGTGCCAGAACTGCCAAAGCAAACCAGTACGGAGAGCTTAGTAAAGTCCATTTTAGTTTAGGCCAAAGGCTAGTAAAGAACATTAATTTGGTGTTCTCATTCCAGAAAACAACTAAAAAACATGGAATGCTAAGCTGCAAAAGAATTTTGCAACAAAGCACTGCAGCACTGAAGGATTAAATAAACAGTGACAAGAGGATTTGCACAGCATACTGAAATTCTCCCAAAATGATCCCGAAGAAACATTCTAGGGCCATTTCTCGAAATTTGAAATAATCTATGCCACTTTTATATAATCCATATATATCTTGGAATCATTTACCAGCAGATCATCATCATACAAGGTGCAATGAGTCTATCATGGTCTATTATCAATTAATTATCAATTAATTTTAGAATGCACCCTCAGCAAGTTTGCTGATGACACCAAACTGGGAGGTGTGGTAGATACACCAGAAGGCTGTGCTGCCATTCAGCGTGACCTGGATAGGCTGGAAAGCTGGGCAGAGAGGAACCTGATGAGGTTCAACAAGGGCAAGTGCAGAGTCCTGCACCTGGGGAGGAACAACCTCATGCACCAGTACAGGCTTGGGGTGGACCTGCTGGAGAGCAGCTCTGCGGAGAGGGACCTGGGCGTCCTGGTGGACGATAGGTTAACCATGAGCCAGCAGTGTGCCCTGGCTGCCAAGAAGGCCAATGGGATC